TTCCGTAAATTAGGGGTACCTTATTTTGGGGTCCTTATATGCTATAAGTAATTAGGGTCTTAGGGTTTAGGGTTTAGGGTTTAGGGTAGTTCTCTAAATTGGGGTACCTTATTTTGGGGGTCCTTATAATAAGGATCCTACTATTTAGGGTACTATATTAGGGTCCCCTATTTTCGGAAACCCCCGAATGGCATTTTCCAGGCTACTCTTGAGGCTGCCGTCCATGTGGGGTCCTGGTTCATGCGGGGTGAAGACAATAAAGATCAAGGATATTTTCAGGTGGGTAGTTACCGTTATAGGAGTATAGAAGGTCTATATACCTTATAGAAGCCTTCTAGCAGCCCTATATACCCTAAACTCCCCACCTGTAGTTTCCTTTAAAAAGAGCAGACAAGCAAACGCTTCTACTTACGACGAGCTCGTAGCTGGTTGCCATTGGTTGCCTGTACGGGTAACCGATTTTTATCCGTTTGCCTTGTCTCTGGCTCATACCGACCTGGCTCCGCTCAGCGAGGTTCTCTGACGTTGACTTTGAAGTGCGCTGGCTGCCATATCAGCTGAATCCCCAAGCATCCGACAAGCCGTCCAGCAAGACTCGCAGCTGCATTGCTTGTAAGGATCGGACCGAGAAATTCAAGGCACTGGGGTCCCTCAAAATCCCTGAGCCCATGACCCCTGCACCCTGAATTCGACTGCTGCTCCGGTTTACGTGCAGCTGCTTGGCAGGTGACTGAAAGGCCTGTGTGGGGATGTTGTGATTCAAGCTTTCTGGGATCACATTGAGGTCGAGACGCAGATGCTAGGGTTGTTGGGCGGCGCCCGATTGTCTTTCATGCAACAAGTATCGAGCTCGACCCGCCCAAGGATGCAGGCCTACGCGGACAAGTTTGGCAAGAGCAAGGCTTCGAACACACATGTTAGTTAGCAGCTTTGCCAGCTGCTCAAAGTGCATACTCGATGCTTTCGGGTAACATCTTGAGCACTGGCACGGGACCTTGAGCTGCTCGAGAGGATCTTACATGACCCGGCGCCCTGAAATTCCCGACTGTTGTGATTGGTTCAAGCTTCCTGAAGAGATGTTCCTGGGTCTCGCTGTTGCAGGAAGAAGTGAGGCAGATGGGTGACTGGATGAAAGGCCCGGGCTTCCTCCGAAACAGCCGTAGCAGTAGCAGTCAGATTGCCTGTTGTCGTATTTCGTGAAGAGATGCCAAGCTTGATCATCATGGTAGTCACCTGGTAGTCTGCTGTCACATCGCACATGCTGCATCAAATGCTTGAGATGCTACTTCAATGTGGTTATAGCATGTTGCCAATTACTACATGCATCCCACGCAATATCACGGCAAGCCCTCCACAGGTTACTCGAATTTGGTTTTTCGGCCCGCATGACAGAACTCCCTCACCGATAGAACTCACTCATCGGTCATCCGTCGCGACCACTAGGATTACGAAGTAATATGACATACCATGCGTTACTGTGCACATCCTTATGCATGTGGGCTAAGGACGCACAGCGCAAAGTGGGATAGATCATGCATCTAGGCCCAAATCCATCGAACTGCATCGCACACCCTCATTTTGCCATAGCAAAAGGCAAGTTCGATGCAGTGGGACTGCCCTACGCCTTCACGGAGAAGGGCCTGGCCTCTGGGCTGCAAACTTGGATTCCGGAGCGCATGGGCCCCACTTCCGAGCGCCGTCGCCATTTCGGCTGTCAGCGACTCCGACTCCGCCAGTAAGGTAGTATTATTAGGGGTACCCCTTAAAGGGTACCCCTTCTGAACCCTTCTTGTGGCTCTCTTAAAAGGGACCTTATTGAGAGGGTCTATATCCCCAAGGGTCCCCTTAATCCTAGCTCCCAACGTCAGGGCCAGGCCAGGGCCAGGCCAGGCACCCCCCCGGCTCGGCTCAGGTGAGCAGCACCTTCGATGCGCACAGAGTCCTCACCGAAGCTTACAGGCCGCTGGTCGTGACAACGACGAAGACTTTGACAGTCAGGATGGTGACCATGACAGTGATGGTGATGGTGATGATGGCGATGATGATGGCTGTGACGGTGGTGGCGATGATGAATGACATTGAACATGACGGTGATGCTGCCGGTGGTGGTCGCGATGAGAAGTCTGTGTGTTAGAGTTGCAAAGCAACCCTAAGCGGCGATAGAGTTTTCTGTTTGCATCTCGAAGCAATTCTCAACAATGCTGACCGTTTGCTCCACATCATTTACGACCTCGAAGGGTTGTGATTGCGCCGTCATCATCATCATCATCATCATCATCATCATCATCATCATCATCATCATCCTCGTCGTCGTCGTCGTCGTCATCGTCGTGGCCATCGTCATCTCATCGTCATCTTCACCATCATAACCAGGATTATGTTGATGATCGTCGCCATCATCGCCATCACCATCACCATCACCATCGCCGTCACCATCATAATCATCATCATCAGCATCAGCAGCTTCAGCATCATCATCATCATCATCATCATCATCATCATAGCCATCATCGTCATCATCATCATCATCAGCATCACCAACAATACGATACCACTGGATGCACAACCCAATACCCCAGAACGACCAAAAGCTTTAGCTTTCTTTCAGAGGCAGGGCGGCGCTGCTGCCCAAGACAAGGCAGCTGAGGTGGGAGCACCGAAATGGCAAACCGTCTGCCTTTAAGCGCTGAACTCGAGAACCCAACATCTGCCCTAAACCTGCGTCTTGAGCCCCAAATTTTTATTTCTGCTCTGGTGCAGGCTTTGTTCCATTCCTACTTTGCAGAGGAGTCGCTTGGCTGGCTGGATTCGTAGTATTCGTAGTCATTCGTCGCAGCCGTTGTTTCTGTGTTGTTGCTGCTGGTTGCAGTCGTGGCTTCTGTGCAAGCAACAGCTGACGTCGGATGTACCACACCTGCAATCTCAGCGAAGATGGTGAACAAATTAGTTTTTGACGATGAAGATGAGAATCAGCGGCTCGTTTTCTGTTAGGCCCTTCACCTCAGCTCGGCAAAGTCAGGAGACCAAGCCACACCAGAAAACCCCGGAGCAAAGTACTACCATAGACCCGAGTGAGTGATAGTGCTCTAAAGCCCTGCAGCCCTGTCAGCTATAAAATCCCATGCCCCACAACAACTTCAAGCTGAAGCACTCATCCGCATTCCGAAACCGTGCTTCGACTACGCCAGCCTTCTGACATAGGCTCACCGGAGCGGGGACATCTAAGCATTTTTGACAAATGTGGATAAGGGCTGCAGGATGTAGGGCTTTAATGTTGAGGGCTGCCAGGTTCAGGATTGCTTTGCATTCGTTTCCCAATCATTTGCAGGATGCTTACGTCGGTATGCTATCAGAGGCCCCTATCACAAAATGGTCTTCGCAAAGACTCCTGCCTGTTCTGCCACCAGATAGAGATGCTGGATTGCAGGGCTGTTCCGCTAAGCTGTGTCAAGGTTAGGTCCAGATAATTCAAGACGGTCCATAGCACGCTCTGTGAGTTTCTGGTGTGGAAAGGCCCAAACCAGACGGACTGTGCTTGACGCTGGATTCGTTGCCCTGAGGAAGGCGCCCAACGACCCGGAGGAGCTGAAGAAGGCGCGGCACCAATGTTGGCAAGTTTTTCTTTTCGGTCCCCAACTTGTCATCATGATTCTTCACCGTGCTCCTGCTGAAGATGGTGTCCACGATGCAGATGATTATGGCGGTACCCCGCTGATGACGCTGCTGATGATGTGGGCGAGGGCGAAAGATCGATGGTTTTTTGTAGTCGTCACAGGCATCGTGTTCCAGATGTAAACATCTATGTCCCAGACTCCCTTGTTTGCTGGATTTCCCAATGTGCTGGAACGGGCCGAATGCACCGAAAAGGGTTTGACAAGTATGGAGCCGAGTGATGCCCCACTGACCAGAGGTGGAATTTCGTAATACTCCGAGGGCAAACAAAACCAGCTGTTGCTGGGCTCCGACTCCCACATCGCACCACCCTAGAGTCTTGCGACCCAAAAAACCCAGAGACTCCAATGTCTTTTCGTTAAGGAATATACTTTAAATCATATTAAGGATCCTACTATAATTTAAGGAATATTCCTTAATTAAGCAATGTTGGAGTCTCTGGGAACATCCTTCATATCAGCAGCCTGAGGTGCCTGATGCTAGGGTGCAACCCCAAGCCCCCCACATCCCGTGCCCCATACCTCCCGGAACCCGCAGGCGGCGGTGGCGGCGGGCCTGGATGGCGACAAGTTGCACCTCGGTGGCCTCCGGTTCTGCACGCGAAGTCCTGGAA